GGGGTGGGGGTGGGTTACGGGGTGGGTGGGTACTGGGTAGGTAGATAGAGTCTTTTTCTTTTCAACCGTGGTTACTGCTGTTGGCGTTAACCCGGTATTGGATCCGGTCCGGTTCAACTTCTATCTTTTATCTTTTCCGTTTCTTTTGTATAAAAATAGTTTAAATATATCATTAGTTAGTTTGTTATATATCTAAGTATCTTTTTTTTGTTATACTTTTGGGCTAGATACACTTCTTCCATCATATTTTATCACAAATTTACCCTTAATTTTGAGTTTCAAGCTTAACATTAAATGGTATTTCTTTTTGGAACTCAGGATAACCTGCAACCACTACAATCTCTGTCACAGCCTCTGTGGTGAGCACTTTGTGCACACTAGGTAAACCCTCCACTATGTAATTGTCTACAAACCACACATGGAATGTAAACCGCACTAGGCAAGCCCTATGATTTTATTGATGCTATGAAATGTATGAAGTTGTGATTATATGTGTGATTGAATTGGGTATCATGCTGGTATGGTACATGGACACAATGGTGGATCGAGGATTCTCGACTTGTGGGTGCTTACTTTTTTTAATAGAAAAATATTATAAATCACATAGTATAAGTGCACAATTCTTTAAACGTAATATTTAAAACATTAATGAGAAAAAATAAGACTAATACTACCATTAAAAAAAATCAATTTTGAAGAAAGAAAGTTTTAGAATTGAAAGTTTTAGCCGGAAGGTTTTCTTAATCAAATAGTCAAAAATTCCCAAGAAAAATGAGAAAAGTAATAGGACATGACTTCTAAATTTTGTCATCATAAAACGTAAAAGAAATTAAGACTATGTAACATCCGGCAATTTGAAATAACTATGAAGAGGCTTAGAATTGGAAATAGTCATTTTTGGAAAGAATTCAAAAATCTGGACATTTGGTTAAGTATGGGAAAAAGTGAGTTTTTGGCCAACTTTGAACGGTCATAACTCCTAGCTCAGGATGAGTTAGGTGTAGTTCTAGTTATGTTTGCAAAGCTCGTGGAATGATCTTTCCAACGCCGCCGAGTTTGCTCGATTCCGAGTTTGTATGAGTGAGTTATTCCCTTTGGAGGTTGGGCAGTTGTCAGGGAAGTCAGTCCGAAAATTGTAAGGGTATTTTGGTCTTTTCCCTAACCAATTCTTTTGGTTATATCAAGGATTCGTCAAAGATCGTCGTGGATATCGGGGTGATCCCTACTAGGTATGTGAGTTCATAGTGTTGGGTTGGTTCTTTCCCCCACACGCCAAACTCGTTTTATTGCCGAGAGAAGATTGTTTGTGTTTGTTGAAGTTGTTGGTTGTGATTGTGTTGAAGTTCTTGTTGATTTGGGGCATGTTTCCGGGTCAAATCTATTGTATAGTAAGGGGATTTATGATTCTAAGTGTTTGGGGCTGGATCCATTGAAGTTAAGGAGGTTTAGAGTTGGAAAAATGAAGGAGAAAAGTCAAAATTTCGGGGAAAAGGGCTGGGGTGTCGCGCCAGCCAGCGCGCCCCAAAAGGGGCTCTGAAGCCCAGCCCTTGGGGC